TTTGCCCCCTTCCTGATTTCTTATTTGTTTGCATGTTTGTCACACTTAAATGTTTCAGATCATCAAACAAATATTAGTCAAAGATAACACAAGTAAAGAGACTGGGAAAAAATTGCCTGCATGGCAGAGTTCCAAGACGAAAACCACCGCTGAGCAAAAAGAACATTAAGGCTCGTCTCATTTTTGCCAGAAAACATCTTGATGATCCCCAAGACCTTTGGGAAAATACTCTGTGGACTGACGAGACAAAAGTAGAACTTTTTGGAAGGTGTGTGTCCCATTACATCTGGCGTAAAAGTAACACCGCATTTCAGAAAAAGAACATCATACCAACAGTAAAATATGGTGGTGGTAGTGTGATGGTCTGGGCCTGTTTTGCTGCTTCAGGACCTGGAAGACTTGCTGTGATAAATGGAACTGTCTACCAAAAAATCCTGAAGGAGAATGTTCGGCCATCTGTTCGTGACCTCAAGCTGAAGCGAACTTGGGTTCTGCAGCAGGACAATGATCCAAAACACACCAGCAAGTCCACCTCTGAATGGCTGAAGAAAAACAAAATGAAGACTTTGGAGTGGCCTAGTAAAGTCCTGACCTGAATCCTATTGAGATGCTGTGGCATGACCTTAAAAAGGCAGTTCATGCTCTCAAACCCTCCAATGTGGCTGAATTACAACAATTCTGCAAAGATGAGTGGGTCAAAATTCCTCCCCAGCGCTGTAAAAGACTCATTGCAAGTTATCGCACACGTTTGATTGCAGTTGTTGCTGCTAAGGGTGGCCCAACCAGTTATTAGGTTGTAGGGGGCAATCACTTTTTCACACAGGGCCATGTGGGTTTGGATTTAGTTTTCCCTTAATAATAACAACCTTCATTTCAAAACTGCAATTTGTGTTTACTTGTGTTATCTTTGACTAATATTTAAATGTGTTTGATCTGAAACATTTAAGTGTGACAAACATGCAAACAAATAAGAAATCAGGAAGGGGGCAAACACTTTTTCACACCACTGTATATCCAGTTACCGATTAACAGGATTTCTGGGAGTCATGATACAACATGGAAGAGTATCATCTTTGTTCTGCTCTGTTATCTACTATCACATGAACTGTTTTTCTATGCATAAGGTCTTGCATTTTCTTCTCATCACCCTCAGAATTGTAATTTGTCCCCATTAAATACAACCAGAGGGAAACCTCTTGCCTCTCAGTTGATATTGGTTAGCAGGGAGGTTAGCTCCCTCATGTGGCCACCATAGCAGAGCAGGATGTCTCTGTCTCTCACAAACTCGCAGGATTTGGGGTGGGTTTGTGGTGACAATGTGTTAGTCTGATGTTATCTCTGGTGATTCTAGTTTGGGAGACACAGTTCAGTTCTATCATAGATAAAAACCTTGATCCACTGAACACAACAGAGTGAGTCAGAACTTCTCTCTGAGTTCATCTCTGGCTTTCATGTCCACCTAGCTCTATGTATTTGATACTAACATTATATAAGAGCAAAATACCCAAACACTAACATGTACCTAAAGTTTATGTTCTTCCTTACAGCAAATGGTTATGTTTTCATTTGATGTGTTAGGTGATGGGTACCCAGAAGCATATACAGAACTCAGAACTCGTAACAGTATTGGGACAGTGACACATTTGTTGTTGTTTTGGCTCTGTACTCCAGCACTTTGGGTTTGAAATGATACAATGACTATGAGGTTAAAGTGCAGACTGTCAGCTTTAATTTAAAGGAATTGTGAATAATGGTGTGGGAAAGTTACAGATGCACAAATATCATACCCCCAAGACATGCTAACCTCTCACCATTACAATAACAGGGGAGGGTAGCATTTTTTGGGGGGGTATGATATTTGTGCGTCTGTAATTTTCTCACTCATTCAGGGTTATCCGTAATCATGGTAGCATCCACATTAATGTAGAAGTGTTTAGAAACATATTCTATTCTTATTTACAATAAAAGTGACTCCAAAATGACGCAATACATTATTTACCATTAATTTCTATTGGGCACAAAATAATCTGAAACACAAACAAAACAAACAATAAAATGCATCCAAGAAGTTTGTAGAGTCACAAGCTTGATGTAGTCATTGTGCTATGAATATGAAACTAAATGCTTAACTTTCTACTACTTTAATACACATATAAGTGAATTTGTCTCAATACTTTTGGTCCCCTAAAATGGGGGGACTATGTAGAAAAAGTGCTGTAATTTCTAAACAGTTCACCCAATATGGATGAAAATACCCTCAAATTATAGCTGACAGTCTGCACTTTAACCTCGTAGTCATTGTATCCAAAGTGCTGGAGTACAGAGCCAAAACAACAACATAATCTTCACTGTCCCAATAGTTTTGGAACTCACTGTACGTTGGACTAACCAGACAGTTGATACCTGTGTTCCAGACAAGATCTGGAAGTCAGTTGGTGAAATCAGCTAAGAATCTTTCTGACCACCCCTTCCTGCCCTTTCTCTGGTCCAGGTATTGTGGAGGCTGGTTTGCCGAGGTCCCAGAGTGAGTCAGCCACGGGATTCACTGCCTCCAGACACCATGGGCGGAGCCGAGATGAGCAGAGACGCCACACCATCACCAACGGAGTGGGTTATGGAATGGTACTTACGCGAGTGCACACACACGCACACACACACACACTCACACACATACACGCACACACACTGTTGCATATGCACAGATTTAAGAGAGGCAGTCAAACAACCATCTTCTCACTGCTAGTGATGTTCAGTGATGGGGTTCATGTTAGGGGTCAGTTCACTTTTTATCTAGAGTAGGGGTGAAGCAGAGAACAGTTTCAAGGATAAACAGGCCTCTCTGCTCTGTGCAGACTTCTACTGCTCTCTGTCACTTTGTTTCTGTTGGCTAACACCCACCATTCACTCCCCCATTCCACCCCTCTCCCTACACCCCTCCCTCTTTTTTCTCAGTCCAACCCCTCTTCCTCTGTGGCCCTCCCAATCTCCTGCCCCCATTCCATGCCTCCTCTCTCTCCCTCGCTCTCTTTCTCTATCCCCCTGCCTCTCATTTCTCTGAGCCCTACTCTCTCTGTCCCTCTTTCTCTGTCTTTTCCTCTCTCCTTCCACTTTTTCTCTGTGTGGAGTTATAGAGGGAGCTGCTCCCCCTCCCCCTCCCTCCTCCCCCCTCTGATTGCCTGTCCACATGGTAATGAGCCGGGTCAGACCCAGGGGCCTGGAAGCAGGGGACTTGCTTGGTCCACCCGGCCCAGCCTGGACAGCCGTCTGGGCAGCCTACACCACTGTCTTCATCCCTCTCAGCAGCAGTCTGTACAGCAGCAAGGCACTGCACTTTTTCCTTTGGGTGAGTGAGAACAACTACAGGAGAAAGGACGGTAAAGAGTAGGAGAGAGGAAGAGAAGGAAGGATAATTAGACTGGAGGAGAGTCTTGTTTGAGGAGTTGCCATGTATATATATGCTATGAGCAGAGTCAGAGAGTGATAACTGCTTGTCAACTAGCTGAATGTTTGACAGTTCTGTTCTGTGTCTGTGGTTAATGAGTTGTTGAAGCTAGTGGACAGTGCCAGTAGACAGTGCTAGTGTGGGTTTGTATCAGGTTGTGTCTTGTTGATAACCTGTAAACCCCTAGTTGTCATATTGTTGCTCTAGCCCTAGCAGTTGTATGGTAGCAGTTGTCATTGTAACACTAGTGATGTTAGCCTTGTCAGCCAGCTGGGACATGATACCCTCCCCCTCCTGTACCCCCCTCTCCCCTCTCTAACTTTTCTATCATTCCCTATGCCTGTGGCCCACCACACAAACACACAGCCTGACACTGGGTCACGCTTAATTCTAGGCACAAAACCCCCCACCCCTCTCCGTCTTTCTCTGCTCTCTCTCTCTTTCATCCCTCTCTCTCCTCTCCTCTGTCCTCTGTTTGCGGCTCCCATTCAACCCAGCAGGGCCAGAGCTGAAAGGGGAAATGTGTTTAGTATGCAATGATGGTACAAGAGGGCACAGGTTTACGCTGGCTGGTTACAGTCCAGATCAGATAACAACAACAGTATCAGCAGACTTTGACAATGCTGGTTGGTTTGACCATTGCATTATATCATTGGGAAATAGGCCTTTGTACAGACATGGTTTTCCCGACAGTGATAGAGAGGGTGGATGACACATCAGGTGGCTGAATGCCAGGAATGGGGCCTGTGCTGTGCTGTGACACTGGAGGACAGGATGGTCAGCAGAACTCATTGCCGTCTGCCTGCCACTGGGACAGGATGGTCAGCAGAACTAATTGCTGTCTGCCTGCCACTGGGACAGGATGGTCAGCAGAACTCATTGCTGTCTGCCTACCACTGGGACAGGATGGTCAGCAGAACTCATTGCTGTCTGCCTGCCACTGGGACAGGATGGTCAGCAGAACTACACTGGGACAGGATGGTCAGCAGAACTCCATTGGGACAGGATGGTCAGCAGAACTCCATTGGGACAGGATGGTCAGCAGAACTCCACTGGGACAGGATGGTCAGCAGAACTCATTGCTGTCTGCCTGCCACTGGGACAGGATGGTCAGCAGAACTCCACTGGGACAGGATGGTCAGCAGAACTCCACTGGGACAGGATGGTCAGCAGAACTCCACTGGGACAGGACGGCCTGTTGGAGTGGCTACTGTTTACCCATTCTTAGGTGTCTGCACCGTTGCTATGGCGCAGGGCTGATTGCTCCTCTAAACATTGCTCCTCCTTTTGAGGTTGGGGTACCATTCTGGCACAATTGGCCCTGGGCCATTGTCTCAAGACAACATGTAGAGATATAGCATTTTTACCATCATAAATGTGACATGCAAGCTTAGCTAGTTTACAACATTTACCCTGAGACGATTGTAAATTAGGGACCCCTTTTTTGGAGCTCAGGGTGAGTATAAGCTTGAGGAGCAAGCAGCAAGCATACAGAGTCGCCAAATGACTTCAGGTAAGTGACCCATATTGACAATGATAGTGAGATAGATGTTGACTCCCTCTTGCTCCAGCTGAAGCAGATGAAGGAGTTGGAGCAAGAGAAGGACTCTCTGCTGGCTGGTCTGGATGTGTTGGAGCGGGCTAGAGAGTGGTACCAGACCCAGATCCACAACGTCACCGAGAGACAGAGACACGTGGGCCAGAGCAACCACTGCACGGTAAGGACTGTTCATTAGGCAACAAACAGAAGAAAACAAACTGAAACAGGGAGGGACTACCTCCTGGACTTGTCCATTTTCCGTTGCAAAACGTTTTAAAGCTTTTTCTGTTTTAAAAATGAATATGCCCTAATGAACATGACCCAGGTCATGTATAATGCAGTACAGTAGGTATGGATAATATATACATTATCTGAAACTGTCTAGTTCTTACTGTCTCGCGTTCTCTCTCCCACCAGGATTTCTTCACAGAATCCCAGAATCAAAGTCGCATGGATGTTCTGCTTCCCAAACTGCAGGAAGTCAACCGCTGCCTTAATGACCTAATTTCCTGCTCTGGAATGGTATTGATGATTTACCTTGAAATAAGACATATTACCTGACTTTGTCTAACTCCGCCTCCTCACCGCCCTATGAGGGATGGTTGTCTCATATGACTGTGTCTAACTCCGCCTCCTCACCGCCCTATGAGGGATGGTTGTCTCATATGACTGTGTCTAACTCCGCCTCCTCACCGCCCTATGAGGGATGGTTGTCTCATATGACTGTGCAATTTCTAAGGTCAATTTGAATTCCACAGTAATTGTCAAGTTACTTATTTTCCTCTTACTGGAGTCCTCTCAGTGGCAATTAGATGTTGAATGTTCGTTCTATGTTTTAGACAGAGAGTATAGTCAACCCTAAACACTGGAGTCTTTACTGAAACATGGTAAATAATTGTGAATAATCTATTTATTTCTCTCTCTCTGTCTTAGCAGTCTTTCCCATTCTCTGGCAACCAGCCCACAGCGATCTCCTCCAGCTCCCAGCCCCCTGCCCCTGCCCCCCCACAAGCCATTCAGAGACTGAAGGACCAGAACCGCCTTCTTACCCAGGTAAACTGAAGATGCTGTTAGATGTCAATTAAATGTACTGTATATATACTGTATATATATCCATCACCACTGCCCGTCTATGATCGTCTAACCTCTACCTATCTCTTCTCTTTTCCCTGCTGCATTGAAGCTCTGTATGTACACTCCTTAAATGCGCAATAAAAGCTTGTTTAAACTCTCTTCTCCCCTGTCCATGTCTCCCCTCCTCATTTCCTCTCTCCACCACTCCTCCTCTCTCCACCCCTCCAACCCTCTCTACGTCCCGGTGCAGGAGGTGACTGATAAGAGTGAGCGCATCACTCAGCTGGAGCAGGAGAAGTCTGCTCTGATCAAACAGCTGTTTGAGGCTCGCGCCCAGAGCACGAACGACAGCAGCACCATGGACTCCACCTTCATCTGAATACAGACACCATAATACAACTATACTGGTCTCCAGCTCTATCTGACCCCCACTCACAACAAGACAACTGCATCAGACTCAACTCACCACTCCTGGCATGATGAAAGCACCTTGAACTTTGACCCCCCCCCCACTTGACCACTCCCTCTGGATCTCCCCAACTGACCACTCCACTTAAAATGGCCTGCCACTAATCTGGGCCGACCCCTCCTGGGGGGGGGGACTCCCGAGTCCACCCTCACTCTGATACCGTCAGCCTCACCCACTGGGCAGAAAGCCTGGAACACCATAGTCTAACCATTCCTAACTGGGACCTGCCCAGGATTCCACTCCCCCTCGATCACTCCAAGGATCTACTGTGATCCACTAGGATCCTACCTTATTGAACCTGACTTAATGTTTACCCTCCCTCCCATCACAGTATAAGCTATGTGATTGGACATCATGAACTAAATCTAAAACCGTTACATGGAGCTACAGGATCCCTGCCAATCACCATGACAACAGCTCCTGTACAAATACATTAGTTGGAGGGATTCCATTGGACACACACCACACAAAATGTATTTATTTTATGAAACATTTACTCCAGATACTTTGATCTCAGTCACACTTTGATAGATATTTCTCCCATTGTATTCCAATATATCCACTTGTGTATCTCAAACCTAATTGAAATAGTTGGTAAGATGAGAAGCTGGGCTCTCCAGACCTGGAGGAGCTTACTAGTTTGTAGAGAACTTAACCCTAAGGAGGACACCATGACTGTATAGTATCTCATTTACTGTTTGTCACTCTATGTACCCTTTAAGTGGGCCAAATGCACATGACGTGAAGCACTAGTACATATAGCCACCATTTTAATAGTAGAACATGAGCAGCATGTAAATGTTGTTTTGTTTCCCTTAAAATTAATTAATTGAGAGCACTAGAAAAGTGACACATGTCCTACAAGCCAATGAGATCTAGTAGTGGAGAGGGTTGGAGAGAAGTTTGCATGTAGAAGAGACTTGAAGATGAGAAGGATTGGTATTTCATGAATGTGTTTGAGCCCTGGTCCCTGGTGGCAGAGGGACCACCGGAACGGGACAGGTCTCAGAGAAGAGTAATGTTGGATTGGCTAGTGGGAAAAAAAAAAAAAACAACTCCTCCTTGGTTGATAGACTTCAAATGTAATGTAATGTGCTGTAATGATTCATGCAAGACTGGCTTTATAGTGCCACTTCCTCTCTGTCTTCCTACAGAGGTGTCTCAGAGCCTTTGTGTCAAAAATGAGTAATGCAATGTTAGTACAGGATGAACAGAATGTGGTTTGTGAGACCTGGTTTGCTGAGAGGTTAAGACCAAGCAAAGATACTGCTGCTCTTTCAATGCTGTACTTATAATGGTCCCACCAAACCAGAATCTAAACCAGTGGTCTCATAAACCACATAGTCACCTGGGCCCATTCAGTCTTGAATCCCTTTACATTTCTAATTGAGAATATGTTTTTTAGTGGCAGTAATTGCTATGTAACGCAACTATGTAATGATTTTGCAATGCAACTCTTATTAGGTACTGTTGTGATGTCTGCGTATAAATACTCTCTGCTGTGACTGACTGCCTAGCTGTCTCTCCTGTTAGATTGTATGTCTTTGGTCTTGTGATTATCTTGCTTCGCATTGTATGTTAGTGAATGCCACCCTATCCTTTCCTCTTTCTATTGTAGTATTCCCACTTGACTAAAATAAACATGACCAAAAGGTGCCAGTAAGGTCATATAATCAGCCCCCTTTTCATGTATTTTGTAGTGTTTTACCTTGGGAACACTTTAGCTTCTCTCTTCCATTCCTTTGTATTACAGGGTTGATCCAGATGAGGGTCATCAGCAGTGTTTTGAAGATTTGATATTAGCCTCTTGTTGCACAAAGTTTGCTTAATTTAGGAAGCAGTCACCTCTATTCAGGGGGATGTTATAGGATGTTGACTGAACAGCTTTTGGGTGCAGGTGTCTCCAAGTCGTATTTTACATGGCACAGTTGGGAGCTTAGACCTTTCATATTACTCCTCAATTAATATTCCAACCTCTTTTCCAGCATGGCAGTAAAATAGAAAGAATACTTACTTTGGTTAAAAAATGTTTATACGGACAGCACACTGGGAAAATATTTCAAATTTGTATGAATATTTGATTGAGTTGACAGAAAACATGAATTCAATTTGAAATCAACCAAACCCTGTTGTTGATTTGTGGTTGTAACCTGGGTTAAATTTAGAAATCTGCAACATCTATCAAAGAGCCATGTTGATGCAATGTTTACATTGTGGGAACAACGTAGTCTCAACCAATGTTTGCCAGTGCGGGGTGTCTATGGAAAATATAGGATCTTATTAAAACTGTTGGTACACAAATGTCTCAATGAGAAAATGTGTCAGTGAGGAAGATAACAGTTATTCTATGACATGTAATAGGACTCATGTGTTTCTCCTCCATGGTGGAGAGAATGAAGACTGGTTGTGTATGGTTTGTCTAGATAGAGACTGACTGATAAGTCTACATCTGAAACACTTTTCCCCCTTCTTTTGTATAACTCATCATGTCTGTTGTTGCTTGTTAATAGCACCATTAAATAATCACACACATATACAGTAGCACTGAACAATGATGACTGTTTTTGTTTCCAAATTGTTCATTCTGTTAAAATATAAAAGTCACCAGTGCCAAGTTGATGGACAGGTTGAAATGAATAACCTTTGATTGAGTATGTGTTATTGTAACAGGAGGGATGGACAGACACACAGTGTAACTAACCAGAAAATCTACCATGCTAAATGATCTGTCTATCAATAAGATAGCCTCTTCCAGACTACTAGAAGCTACATAATCAACTCTCAGATAGAGATCTTTGTATCTTCTCTGTTGAGAGATAATATATTTGGCTTCTCTGACAGATCAATGCCACCCATTGTAGTTGAGTAGGGGGATCTTGCCTCACACGTAACCGTCAGATTAGGAAAGGCCCTGCTACATTCTCACTGTATGACATGATTCATCCAATATTCATTTTGTACCCTTGGATATTATTAGGTCAGATCCAATGGAGGAGATTTCAATAAGGAATATAATTCTGTTTGGCCTGGGCATACAACTCTCAGGAAAAACTTGATTGGAATTGGTGTAATGTCTTTCCAAAGTTTTGGAAATGGTGAGACAGTGGGGTTTATTCATTAGAAACATGAGTTTAAAATGTATTATATATGTAATAACTATAAACAAATTAACAATGAACTTATGACATTCACATTTTTTATTACACTACATTTCACCAGCTTGAGACACAACAACAACAACAATGAACATTCCTAATTAATTACGATTATCTTAGACTCCACTGATTCCACTTGAAGCATAAATTCCCACTAATTAAAAGAGCACCCAAAGCAGCAACAACTAAGCATGTTGATTCAGAGACTCCAAGGGCAGTTTTCCTCTGCTGTTCATCTCTCTCTCAGAGACTAACTAAACAGAATGGCAATGGCATCCCAGGGGCATCATGTCGTCTGCATGACTGACTGCTGCATGGTGGGGTTGTGACTTTTACACAACAAACTGTCTGTGGGATAGGAGAAGCATGAAAACATGTCTGGCATTATGTGTTCTTCAATTATGTGACTTCAGGTAGTCACTTTTCTCTGAGATACTTGCAAGAGAAGGGGATTTAACATTTTTTACATTTTAGTCATTTAGCAGACACTCTTATCCAGAGCGACTTACCGGAGCAATTAGGGTTAAGTGCCTTGCTCAAGGGCACATCGACAGATTTTTCACCTAGTCGGCTCGGGGATTAGAACCAGCGACCTTTTGGTTACTGGCACAACGCTCTTACCCACTAAGCCACCTGCCGCCCCATTTAACTCAACTAAATGGCATCTCCTTTTAACCTAGCAGTTTCATTGCTGGCATTTTCATCAAAATTGACAATCTAATGAGACATTTCCTGAAACTGATAACTGAAATTACAAGGAAATGACATGAAACTAAATCAGAATGGAATAATTAAAATGTATATGACATTTGAATGTGGGGACATAAAAAATTAACTTCGGTTAGATATTTTGTCTGCTGTTGCATGATAAAAAACAGAACCCTTGTCTTGTGGCTGCAGGTGATGCTCAGAGCCCGGGCTGAAAGTGGCACATGTCTGGGAGTCTTCCTTTATATGAGCAAAAGATGTCCTGTGTGAACATTGAACTAATGTAAACACCACCTTGGATTCAGTAACATGATGAACAAACCTGGGTTGTATTTCAATAGATGCTGTGGCGAGTTGCAACCATTAACCAAGATAAACACACAAAGTTATACAGAAGTTAGAACCATATTCACCCAAACAGAAACAAATCAGACAGACAAATTAGTGAACTAATAAGGTGAATCCTTCTGGACTGGATCCAGTTGTGTTGATTGACTTTCACTGTATGAGAAGTTTATTCAAATATTTTAAAGATAACCACCAATATGTGGCATCATAGCGAAGTGTCATTTAATTCCAATTTGTAATTGAAAAAAGCGTCCTTCAGTTGTGTAGATGTCTTTAGTCCTCTAAGTTTCGGTTCTTCCATAATTGTATGAAAATGAAGAAAGAACAATCTGTGCTCTGTAATTTGAGAGGTCATCTGAAAGGTCAAACAAACTATGAGATCAGTTTCTGACATTAAGAGTAGGCTATTAGGAGCCATTTTACACATCTGTACAGATAACAGGCCAAGCACCCCATGTAGGCTATGCATCAAGGAGTCTTTTTCGCCAATGAAGCCACACACAAAATCCTCCCTGCCAATGTAATGTGTACACCACTGACAGTCATCACGGCTCACGGATCACAAAATAATGCATGTCATGCCCATGTAACAGATTACACTTTGTTACACTGAATTTCAGAAGTGATCTTCTGGATTGTTACATCAGTTGTTTACCACTAAGTTTCCGTCAGGCTCCAATGGCGTGTTGCATCATTGCCAATCAGTGTGAATGGCAATGGCTTCCCATGACACATTCCCCAAACAAACCAATGGAACCAAAATACCCCAACCTCTCTTTCTTTAAATGTATTATTATTTCCATATTTATTAAACTATAATATTGATTAAACTATAATTGTTTAATTAATGACAAAACAGTACTGTTACATAGTGTTTTAGTCATGCAAATGGATTAATGATGTGTGTACAGTGAATTAACG